CACCACTTGTCGCGAGCCATGACTCTGTCCAGCAGAGCCGAGGAAAGATGACACAGACATCAAGGTGAGGTTCAAGCTTCTTTTTCTCATTCTTCCTTTATTCTCTCTTTCTTCATTCTTTGTTTCTCTTTATTATCTCACCCACTATACTTATTCTTTGTTGTTCTCCTATATCTCTCTCTCTTCATCCTTTTCTTATTACACACTTCAGCTGTTCATATAGCGTTCCCAACAGCCCTCCCCCTGGCCAGGACCAATCAGGGCACACACACGCATAGCGGGCAGGCAGAGTGGCAGCTCATTGGGCCACATAGTAAGATCATCAGGCAGGCAGCACATGTTCGGGCTCACCATGCTTCAGGGAGTTGGAGTAAACAAGCGAGGGTCACGAGCCTTGGCAATCAGCCAAGAGTTGAAGTAAACAGCATGAGGTTTGGCAGCCAGCCAGGGCTCCATCTTTGGCTGGCTCGGCTGTGCTCGCTTCCCACAGCCTGATATCCACCTCTGACCTCTGGGTGTGCACAGGCACATACGCACCCATACTTGTGTGCATATACCATATAATACACATACACACACACACACACACACACACACACACACACACCAAAAATAAAAGGAAGGAAGGAAGGAAAGAAGGAAGGAAGGAAGAAAGAAAAGGTGTTACCCAGGAAATGGATGTGTAGCTCAGTGGTAGAGCATGTGATTAACATACACAAGACCTTGGGTTCAACCCCCCAGCACCTAAAAGGAAAAAAAAAAACCAGCAAGGAAATGGTATGCCCCTATAAATATAAATTAGGGGAAGGGCAACTCTGGCAAAATTTGGGGGTAAGTGCTTTATCACTATAGCAAAGCTGCCCAAGAAGTCTGTGGACGTCCTCTTGACAGAAAGTGGTGACCTCAGAGGACTTCAAGAAAATAAAACTAGGACACTGGTGCAAAGACACTTGCTGCCAAGCCTGATAACCTGAGTTCTTTCCCCAGAGCCCCCATGGTGATAGGAAAGAACAGATTCCCAAAAGTTGTCTTCTGACCGCCACAGGCATGTGTACACCCACACAGTACACTCCAACACTCTCCCCCACACTAAATAAATGAAGAAATAGATGTAAAAAGAAACCAGTGTGGTAGCTTACATTTGTAATTCCAACACTTGGAAGGCTGAGGCAGGAGGCTTGTTGTGAGTGTGAGGCCAGCCTAGGTTATATTGAGACACTGTAGCACAATAAAAGAAGAAGAAAGAAAGGAAAAAGAGAGTACAAACTCCTCCCTGCTTAAAGTCTACACTGGACATAGGTTCAAACACTGAAATGTCTGGAGTGGGGTGGAAGTGGGGGCGGGAGCAGTGGCAGCTGGAGCTTTGTTCTTAAACAATGAGTTGTGTAATGTGTTGTGATTATTGTCTTTTTAATTAGGTTTACATTTCAAGTTGTAATAGATGGAAGACATTTTCCAGAAGCAAAAGGTAGATCAAAGCAGGAAGCAAGAAATGCAGCTGCCAGATTAGCTGTTGAGGCACTTAATAAAGAGAACAAGGTGGGTAATTGGCTTTCCCCTAGTTAAAGGGAGTCTGCATATATATATATATATAGTAAAAAACAAAAATATAAAAAAGTAAA